ACCCTAATCACTGACTTCAATTGGGAGGGGCTTCCTTTCTTCTGCTGGGTCTATGAGCCCATATCTGCATGGCAATGGTAAACTGGGGATCAATGAACAGACACTTTGCCCACTTCCTCACTCCTTCCCCACCTACACCACATGGACTGTTCTGTTTTAGAACTTTACTTGAGCTTTGATTAGTAAAAATTTCTCTTGACTGCTGTCAGATAAACCAAAAACCAGTTGCCTTTGGGTCAACTCTCAGTGACTGGATGTGTGTCATAGGAGATCTGTACTCCATAGCATTTTCAATGGTTGATTTTTTAAAAGTAAATATCCAGGCCCTTCTTTTGAGGTTCCTCTAGATAGATTAGACTTTCCAACCTTTCAGTTAGCAGCTAAAGTGCTATCTAACCACTTGTACCACCCAGGGACTTGAATAGTACCTTTGTTTCCACTATTTTTCAAAAATTAATTATTCATTATTATATATACAGCAAAACATGCACATACAATTTCTACATGTACAAATCAGTGACATTGATTACATTCTTTAAGATGAGCAACCATTCCCACTCTCCTTTTCTGAATCATCCTTCCACCATTAACATAAACTCACTGTTCCCTAAGCTTTCTTTCCAATCTTTCCATTTGCTGTTGTCAATTTGATCTCATATAGATAGTTCTTTAAAAAACCACAATACTCAAGACAGACATTCTTTACTAATTAAGCTAAACTATTGTTTGGTTTAAGCAGATTACTGGGGATATTTTTGGTTTAAGGTTTAAGGATTATCTCAGGAGAATAGTTTCAGGGGTTTATACAACTTCTATGGCTCTAAAATGTTTGGATTCCCTGAGAATTTGAGTGGTTCCCACTGTTTTTGAAAGTTTGTACTCTCACTCACTGCCATCGAGTCAGATATGACTCATAACGACCCCTCCTTGGGTTTCTGAGGCAGTATCACCACGGAAGTAGATTGCCCAACCTTCCTTCTGAGGAGTGGCTGGTGGGCTTGAACCACCAGCCTTCCGGTTAGCAGTCAAATGCCTTAGGCACTATGCTACCAGAGTGTTCAGATTTATACTAATGACTTTTATTTCTCAAGCATTTCAATAGGAAGATGGGAATGGTAACTTAAGAATTGTTAGCTTTTAGTTCAAGTAATACAAATTATTGAGGTTCTTTCTTCTTTCTTTTTCTTTTTCCATTCATCTACACATGCTAAAGTTTTCAATGGCTCTTTTTACATGTTTCCCTTGCTGATGTACTCTCAGACTTGAAAAGTTCAAGTTGACTATCCATATCCCAGAGAGGCTCATGCCTTTCATCTCTGTAATCACTGGTATTCATGGCCTAAAGTATCTGTTGATTTGACAACAAGCCAAGGTAGTAGTTTTCAAACTTGGCTCAATGGTGTCCTAGGGCTTCATGCTATTTTGTCCCCTCAAAGACCACTTAGGGTAAAACTAAGTTACTGTGCCTCTGAGCTTTGTATCTAGAGCAGCTCAGTAGTTATTTTAAACTTTTTATTTTGAAACATTTTAGATTTACAGAAAAGGTGCAAAGATAATACTGAGAGTATTATCTTCTTTTACTCTTCACCTTACTTACCCCAATGTTAACATCTTACATAACTATGGTACATTTACCAAAACTAAGAAATTGTCATGGATACAATACTATTAACTTAATTACCAGTGAAATTTGAATTTCACTGGTTTTCCAAAATTGTCCTTTTTTTGTGCAGCTCAGTTTTTATCTGTTTTACAAATTAAGGTTCCTGTGGGATTTTATTTAGACAAATAACTGCTTCTTTCCCCATGCTTTCCCCTTCTGCCAGTCTATAAACCCTCAATTACTGCTACTTGACAATGGAAGGAAAACAGAAGAGTAGCATCTCTTCCCACCATCTCCAAGTGCTTTCACATCTGTGACTTACTGACTTCTCCTAATATCTTTATGAGGTCAAGGGAATTGAGCAAAGCATTTTGTTTTTCACTTTACAGGTAGAGAATCTGGGACACAGAGAAGAAGAATAACTTGTAGGTATGAGTCAGTTAGAGCCAAAGCTAGACAATGAAGCTGGGTCTCCTACCTCATGGCTGAAAATTCTTATTCAAGGCCTCCAAGTGAACAAAACATACCTGAGAGAGAAAAGCTGATCAGCCTCCGGCTTCCTTGCTCTTGCACAGTCTCATCGGTACCAATGCTTTTAAAAATCTGTGAGAAGAAGGAAAATGGGAGACAAGCAAACAAGTGTTGAAATTATGCTCACAACACTAATACACACACTCAATCACAGTTATTTCTCCAGCTACAGTCAACAATGACAGCAGCAATGTGATTTCATTAGGCAACTATTGATTAAAATAAGCTTCTAGCAATCTAATGTCTTTCTCAGTAATAAAGAATCTGTAGTGGGGGGGGTACTTTTCAGAGAAAAGGAAATCAACAAACACAATTACTATAATATTATTGGCTCATTGCAGCTGCTAGTATAAACAATGCTTTTCACATTCAATTTGCCAAAAGTAAGTACTTATTACAGCAGGGCCTTTGGCAGTAGAATGATAGGTCAATAGATGTTTACTGCTATAATTATAATGTGCTTCCATTTCACAAAGTACAGTGTTAAACTGTTGTATCTCCACTTCTTGTGATCTGTATTATTATCTAGGGATTTCCAGGAAACTTTTTATTAGGGAGGATCATGAGTATGGCATTAAGAAGCTACTCTGAAGTTTCTCCTATTTAATTATCTTTTTTGGAAATTTCAGAACACAATTGTTAAATGGGTTATATGTATTCTAGTATGTGTTTGCAAATCAGGCTGCTAAAATATTTTATTTTCCATAATTGCTTAATATATATGTTAACAGATTAATCAGAACAAGTAGTGTCCTTGCTTCTACTCTCTTCTAAAAACTAGTTGCCTGAAAGTTGATTCTGACTCCTGGTGCCCCATATGTACTAGAGTAGAACTGTGCTCCATAGGGCTTTCAATGGCTGACTTTTTGGAGGTACATTGCAGGCCTTTTTTTTTTTTTTTAATTGTGCTTTAGGTGCAAGTTTATAGAACAGAGTGTTTTACATTCAACATTTTGTGTACATTTGGTTCACTCCGCAATTACCATCCTCAACCCTAACCCACTCTCCTCCCATCCCTGCCCAGTAACCACCCCCACCCCATGCTCTTCATAGTTATGCACTCCTGTGTGTCCTGCATTTCCTCTGTGTGAATGTTGTCCCTCTGGTGCCCCATGGTCAATTGCTCCAAGGGATGTGTGGTAGTTCAGTTTGTGTGTCAACTTGGCTGGGCCTGGTTGAGTAGCTGGGCAGCTGGATGTAGTATTTCCCATGATGAGACTGGTAATCAACTCCATGGTGGAATCTACTGGAAACAGCTGAGTAGCTACCTTAGGGAATGTGATCTGCTTCCTGTATATAAGCAGAAGCCTTGGGGAATAGTCTCTAGCTGATGGCATGCTTGGACCTTACATGTAGCCATGTCATTGTTCAGCAGCCTGCCATGCTCTGCCAACCTTACAATGGACTTAAATTAATGGCCTGCTGTGTGGTTTGGTAACATCAGGATTGTGCCATTTTACTTGTCAACCTTGGGCTTCTCAGTCTCAGCAGCAAACAGTTATCTGAGTGAAGAAATGCCTCTAGCTCCAGTGGACTGGGAGCAGGAGGCAGAGCTGGACCCCAAGGTTGAGGGGCTTTCACCCAGCCCCTAGAACCTGACACTTTGAACTTAGACTTAAAGCCTCCAAACTGTAAGATAATAAACTCCTGTTTGTTAAGGCCATGCCATTTGTAGTATGTTATTGTCAGAGCGGCACTAGGTAATCAGAACAGGACGCATCTCCATAGAGTATGTGGGTGCATCACCCTGGGTTGAGTACTCTGCGTGTACATCTTATTTACTATTGGGCTGAAAGCCAGCCCCTGGGAGTAAGTTTTATTCCAGCCCTGAAGTGTATCCCAGGGCCATAGTATTGGGGATCCCACCAGACCCCATCTGACCAGTAATTCTGGTAATTAGTATGTTTTTGGATTTTGTTCCATGTTTTTCCTCCCACTCTATCCAGGATCTCCAGTTTTGATCCTTTCCTGAGTGACTGGCATTGGTAGCTGGGCACCATCTAGTTCTTCTGGTCTTGAGGTCCATCATGTCCTAGGACTAATTGCTTCCAAATGTCCCCCAGCCCCAAGTCTTCTTCACTTCCTATTATAGGATACCATTAGCTGCATCTTCTTTTGAGGTACCTCTAGGTGGACTCAAACCTCCAACCTTTCAGTTAGTAGCTGAGCATGTTAACTGTTCGTATCACTCAAGGACTCCTCCATTCTCTTCTAAGAAGGTTTTATTTAGAAATGCTTCTCAGTACTTACTTGAAAGCAAAATAGCCCTTTCTAGGTACCTTTGCATGTGTTGCCTAAGATGTCTGCAGAAAATAATTTTAAAAAATTGACTATTGTCTTAGTCATCTAGTGCTGCTGTAACAGATGGGTAGTTTTAACAAACAGAAATTTATTCTCTCACAGTTTAGGATACTAGGGGTCTGAATTTAGAGCATCAGCTCTTGAGGAAGGCTTTCTCTTTCTATGTCTCTTGGTCCTAGGAGTATCCCAGCACAGGGAACCTGGATCCAAAGAATGCACTCTGCCCCTGGCTCTTCTTCCTTGGGGGTAGTAGGTCCCCCTCTTTCTGCTCCCTTCTCTCTCCTTTTATCTCTTATGAAGACAAATGATGTTATAGGCCACACCGCAGGGAGTCTCCTTACATCATACCATGGCTGTGATGGGATTAAGGAATTAAGGGAGGTATGCTCCACCCTAGTCCTTCTACAACTGATTGGCTTATTACATCAGATCACATCATAGGGGATCATTATATAACTGCCACATTACATCGTTAGTTAACTGCCAAACCACTGACAATCATGGCCCAGCTTAGTTTAACACATATTTTGGAGGGACACAACTCAATCCATGACAAATATTAAGTGAATCCATACACTATGTTTATAGATAAGAGGAGAGAGCCCATAGGCAGGAAGCAGGAAGCCAGGGATTGACCGTCAGATACAGATGACTGCCAGATACAGGTAAGGGAGAAGGTCCGGAAGTGAGGGGGGAGGGTTTGGAACAGCTAAGGGAGACAAACTTGTCTGTCAGTGTGTTGTACTGTGGTGGCTTGTATGTTACTGTGAGGCTGGAGGCTGTGCCACCAGTGTTTCAAATGCCAGCAGGGTTCCCCATGGTGGACGGGTTTCAGCAGAACTTCCCTACTGAGACAGACTTGGAGGAAGGGAGAGGCCATTCACTTCTCAAAGCTTTGGCCAGGGAAAACCTTATGAATAGCAGTGAAACACTGTCTGATATATTACTGGAAAACTTTATCAATATCCTGGAAACATTGCCTGACACAGTGCTGGAAGATGAGCCCCTCAGGTCAAAGGGCACTCAGAATATGACTGGGAAAGAGCTGCCTCATCAGAGTAGAACTGACCTTAATGATAAAGTAGAGCTTTTGGGCCCTCCATTTGCTGATGTGGCATGACTCAAAATGAGAAGAAATATCTGCAAACATTCATTAATAAGAGGAACATGGAATGTATAAAGTATGAATACAGGAAAATTAAAAAAGTTGTCAAAATGAAATGGAGCACATAAAGATTGATATTCTAGGCATTAGTGAGCTGAAATGGACCAGTTCTGGCCATTCTGAATCAGACAACCAGATGATCTACTATGCTGGCAATGACAAGGTGAAGAGGAATGGCATGGCATTGATCATCACAAAGAATGTTTCATGATCTATCCTGAAGTACAAAGAGGACAGTGATAGGACAATATCCACACACTTACAAGGAAGGCCAGTTAATACTATTATTATTCAAATTTCCACCACACCAACCACCAAAGTCAAAGATGAGGAAAGTGAAGAGTTTTACCAATTTCTGCAGTCTGAAATTGACTGAACATGCAAACAAGATGTGTTGATTATCACTGGGGACTGGAATGCAAAAGTTGGAAAAAAAGAAGAATCATTGGTAGTTGGAAAATTTGACCTTGGTGACAGAAATAACACTGGAGATCGCATGATAGAATTTTGCAAGGCCAATGACTTACTCATTGCAAATACTTTTTTTCAATAACACAAACAGTGGCTATACACATGGCCTTCATCAGATAGAGTACACAGGAATCAGACTGATTACATCTGTGGTAAGAGGACATGGAATAAAGCCAGGAGCTGATTGTGGAACAGCCCACCAACTGCTCATAAGCAAGTTCAAGTTTAAGCTGAAGACATTTAAAACAAGTCCATGAGAGCCAAAATAGGACCTTGAATATCCCTTCCAAATTTACAGACCATCTAAAGAATAGATTTGATGCATTGAACACCAATGACTGAAAACCAGAGGAATTGTGGGATGACATCAAGAACATCATCCATGAAGAAAGCAAGAGGTCATTACAAAGACAAGAAAGGAAGAAAAGACAAAAATGGATGTGAGAAAACACTCTGAAACTTGCCTTTGAGTGAAGAGTAGCTAAAGCAAATGGAAGAAATGACAAGATAAAAGAGCTGAACAGATTTCAAAGAGCAGCTCAAGAAGACAAAGTCAATTATCATAATGAAATATGTAAAGATCTAAACTTAGAAAACCAAAAGGTAAGAACATGCTCGGCATCTCTCAAGCTGACAGATCTGAAGAAAAAATTTAAGCCTCAAGTTGCAATATTGAAAGATTCTATGGGCAAAATATTGAATGATGCAGGAAACATCAAAAGAAGATGAAAGGAATACATAGTCACCGTACCAAAAAGAACTGGTCAATGTTCATCCATTTCAGGAGGTGGCATGTGATCAAGAACCAATGGTATTGAAAGAAGAAGTTGAAGCTGCACTGAAGGAAGGGGCAAAAAACAGGAATTGACAGAATACCCATTGAGATGTTTTAACAAATGGATTCTGCGCTGGAGGCATTCACTCAGCTATATCAAGAGATTTGGGAGACAGCTACCTGGCTAACTGACTGGAAGAGATCAATATTCCTTTCCAAAGAAAGAACCCATTTCAAAGAAAAGTGATTGCACAGAATGTGGAAATTATTGAACAATATCATTAATATCTCATGTAAGTAAAATTTTACTGAAGATAATTAAAAAACAGCTGCAACAGTATGTCAGCAGAGAACTTTCAG